TTTTTTTTTTTTTTTTTTTTTTTTTTTTTTTTTTTTTTTTTTTTTTTGCCACTGTCCTCTCTTCTCCTCAGCTGGCCTGGGAACAGAAGTCTCAGTGCGGATTGCTAGAAACTCAGCTACTCCCCAGATTCCCACTACTTTAAACACGGTCCCATATAGCCCAGAACACACTAGGAATACCACAGAGGCGTTCCTTGGGAGCACGGCAGAGACCTACAGTCAAAGCAGCAGCAAGAGAGACCTCCCCAGTCTGCACACGGCTCGAGCTGCAGACACCACCTGGAGTCCATCGACCACCCCACCCTTCTCCAGCACCACTTCAGAGGTAAGAGGAGAGGGGGCGGTACCGTGTGAAGGGTGGCTGAAAGCCTTCCCTTGCCTTGCTCAAAGTTCCACCGCGCACTAGCTAAGGAATCAGCCATTTTGTGTCTTACCTGCGAATAGACGTATTGGGCATAATGACGAAACCTTTGAAACCGTCGCGTCTTGATGAGATGAAGATAATTGGGTTTGCCATACCATACCTGTATTCTTGCAGATTGGCGTTTTTGTGAGCCGAAGTCGAGGTTTGTGGTCCTAAACATAGCCTAAAGCAACTAAGCAGAAGTTGAAACCAGTACTTTGTATTTCCAGATCATTTATGCTCCTAGGGGCAAGAATCACAGAGCAATGGCAGATTCAGAATCGCTGTAATTGTTTGGGAAGGTAAAGATAAGCAGAAGGCGTGGTGCCTCCCCATCAATGTCCTCTGTGTATCACCTATCTATGATCTTGGTAGTCCTCAAGGCGACAGATGTGTCAAGTGAATGAGCAATGGCATTGGTAGCTTGTGGGTGTTACCCACACAGTCTCTCTGTTTTGAGTGTTGTTTCTTTGGCTTGGCTTTGCTCTTAGAAGTTTGAGCCTCAAAGTGGGCAATGATGGTGTAATTAGAATAGAGTATGCCATGAATAATGTGGGTATGTCTTGATGGTGGATGAGTATATGCATGAGTGAAACCATGAGTTAATCCAAATCCACACTTCACTTGAGAGTGTTTAGCTCTTTCCTAATAGGCAACCAAAAGAATTAAAGAATGTGAAAGCCCAATATCTTCCAAATGACATCCACCCAATTGGATCTCTTAATTGCTTTTGCATTGGATTGAACTGAATATTACATGTGGTCCCCAGCTATAGAACACATCTATCATCATTGAGCACAAAACAAAAACAGTCAGAACATTGAATAACCCCTGAGACTCCGCTTTTGTTCCACTTTCCCATTTCCATAACTCTTCCCTCTGCCCTAGTTCTTTCCTTGCGTACAAACAGTTAGGAAGGCCCTATTGCTTTTTTTGGAAACTCTTTACATCACTCTCCAACATGGCCCTCAATTTCTGTCCAGTAATATAAATATCTATTCCAAGAACACAAACTCTAAATCTGAGTTTGAAGGTCATCTATGTCTGGCCCATCCCTCCACCCATTTGGGGCTTAAGACAGAGAAATGGGAGCGCAGTTAAATCCTCTCACTCCTACCTTGACTTATGCCCACCTCTTGGTTCAGAAATTGTGGTCTCAGAGCATCTGGCTTTGGAAAGTGGAAACGAAGGAGAGGAGGTGGGATAGCCGTGACTTCAGGAGCACCCCATGATTAGGGCGCTCCCCAGTTCTCCAGCTCCTCAGCCATTTCATCCACTAACATGAATAAAGTATTTGCCACTTCTCTTTGAAAGTGAATGTTCACATCCTTGTTTTGGCTGTATCTGCCTCAACAAAAACTTACATTGTACCATTAGTTTAGTGGACCAATCATTCACATTTTAACTTAATTACATATGATAGTACATGATGGGGGAATATTTCAAACAAAAACATTGAGTAACGACTACCACAGAAACCTATCTGCCTGAATACAGGCAGGTGGTCTTTCAGAGAAGAAAGAAAAACGGATGGCCCAGGTCTGACATTATGAAGCATCTTAGAAAGAGGGTCAAATAACCACTTATAAGTGAGTGTATAGCATATATACTGTGTTATGTGCTATATATATGTATAGCATATATAATTTGTTTTTCTGCTTCTGGGTTACCCCACTCAAGATTATCGCTTCAAGTTTCCAGAATTTGCCTGCAAATTTCATGATTTCCTTGTTTTTAATAGCTGAGTAGTATTCCATTGTGTAAATGTACCACAATTTCTATATCCATTTCTCAGATGAGGGACATCTAGGTTATTTCCAGATTCTGGCTATTAGGAATAGAGCTACTACGAACATGGTTGAGCAAATGTCCTTGTTGTATAGTTGAGCATATTTTCACCTACCCCTGGTGGGTGCAGCCTTGCCAGACCACAGAGGAAGACAATGCAACCAGTCCTGGTGAGACCTGATAGGCTAGAGTCTGATAGAAGGGGAGGAGGACCTCCTCTATCAGTGGACTAGGGGAGGGGCATAAGAGAAGAAGAGGGAGGGATGGTGAGATTGGGAGGGGAGGAGGGAGGAGGCCACAGCCTGGATACAAATTGAATAAATTGTAATAAATGCTAAATATAAAATTTAAAAAAAAAGAAATAGGGTCAAGAGTCAGCCAGGCTCTGCAAAGGTATGTTGAGAACAACCAGCAACAGAGCTCTCTTGCAAGCATATCACTGGTCAAGTGGATTTAATCCTGTATAATGAAGCTCACAGGGTCAGCCCCAAACAGTCTTTGCAGCCTTGGAGCAGGGCAGAAGGGATGGTTTGGTGTTATTGTTGTTGTCTTTATTTTATCTTATTTTTGTTATTTTTTTCAATCTCATCTCCCACTGCAATGTTTGTATGAACTCCTAAACAAGGCAGTCTACATAACCAGTATCTGACCTTCTAGCTTTCTTGAAGTTCAGGCAAAATATAGACTATTCTCTATGAAGTCAGGGGCAAAAAACCATGCTCTTCCCAAAGACAGTTTCTCCAAGAGCAGCTTTCAGAATTCTGAACTCTAATCTAGCCAGCCTCCTAATCAAACTCTACTTAAAGGAGCATTATTTCACAAATGTTCATCATAAACAACTGGAGTTTGATATTTTGAAAACTACTATGAGTCACTTACAATTCAAAATTTATAACCTTTGAGAGTAATTTTGACAAAGAGCACCAGAAGAATATGAGAGTAAAATAGTTCAGCTCAATTGTTTGAAATTGTACTTAAATCTCTTGTTTTTTTTTTTTTTCTTTGTTATTCATCTGTCTTGTGAATATTTGGGATTGAGATTTTAATTGAGCTGTAGGTTGAGTGAACTGTTTTTGAGTGAGGATGGGTTTCTGACTATATATATTTGACTAAAGCACCTGAACAAAATGTTTAAAGTTTTGGGAAAAAGAAAGGAAGGGTTTGGAATGGGACAGAATGGAACAAAACAGGATGTAGGTGAAGGTAATGGCATGGAATGAAATGGGATAGAGTGGACTGGATTGAACTGCAGTGGATCTGGTCAGGTAGGTGCTTCCTCTCCTGGTTCATGCTGGTCTCACTGTAGCAGCTGCAAACAGCATCAGAAGTGAGCAGGACTCTAAGAGACACAGCTCATTTGCATGACTAGCGTTCAGCGGTTGGCTATAAGCCGGCCCTTTAGGCTCACCTCATGACCCCTCATCCTCCAGTAAACAATACCAGCTTCCCTTTCATGGTGGGAAGTTAGCTCAGCTTCATAAAAGGCCAAAGGTAAAGGCTGAAGGATTCTGGAGGGACAGTCTCTGGAGTCACACAAGGCTACTTCTGCCACATTTGAGGGCTAAAACAAGCCACAAACCAGCCCAGATTCAAGGAATAGGCGAATAGGCGCTGCTTCTTGATGGAAGCAGCAGCAGACTCACATTGCAAAGGAACATACATGTTGTTGGGCATCAAACAAGAAACCTTATCTAACCATCATCATCACCATTGCTGTCATCATAGGCTGTTTTGCAGATTTCTAGTTGAGATACACAGAGGTTAAAACCCAATGACTCGCTCAAATGATTAAGAAGAAAAATAGCCAAAGGTTTGGTTATGAATCTCAGCATCTGCTTTGGTACACAGCTAGGCAGAGTCTTTCAGAGGCCCTCTGCGGTAGGCTCCTGTCCTGTTACTTGTTTTCTCCTACTTCCAATGTCCATCCCATTTGTCTTTGTAAGTGAGGATTGATCATCTTACCCTGGGTCCTCTTTCTTGTTTATCTTCTCCTGGAGTACAGTGTGTGGACTTGGAAAAGGGCAGGGAGGAGGTGAGAGAGGGAGAGTGGGATTGGGAGGGAGGGAGGGAGGGGGCTACAGCTGGGATACAAAGTGAATAACCTGTGATTAATATAAAAAAATCAAATTATAAAAAAATGAAAAAAGCAAGAGCGTATATACACATACACACTCTGCCCCCATGCTCTCTAATACGTAATTCCTGTTCATCCAGGCAAATGCCAAGGAAGACATACTTGAACTGCAACTATCACTCCTCAGTAATCACACAAAATAATCCTACACTCACTTTTTGAGGATGTAGCATGTGTCTTTTCTTTACCTTTCCCCCTTTTCTCATACCCTCCCTTGCCAATGTGATGGATTTGACCGTGAAAGGTTGTATATTTGGACCAATATTTGGTATCAAATTCTGTAGCTAACACTCTCTCTCTCTCTGTTTCTCTGTCTCTCTGTCTCTGTTTCTGTCTCTTTCTCTGTGTTTCTTAACTATCTAAGGCTTTGGTTTCAATAAAATCTAGTGTATGCCCTGGCAGTTTCTACTCAAGTACTTCCTTCTATGAAATGAAAATTATTTAGTGAATTCATCTGCCTAGTAAGGTTGTGAGAATAAAAGTCTGATTAAAGAAATCACCTTGGGCCAGCAGTGGTGGCACATGCCCTTAGTCCCAGCACTCGGGAGGCAGAGGCTGGCAGATCTCTGTAAGTTCAAGGTCAGCCAGGTCTACAGATCGAGTTCTAGGACAGCCAGGGCTACACAGAGAAACCCTGTTGTCTTGAAAAACAAACAACAACAACAAAATCACCTTGGTACGCTAGCTGTTCTTAACTGAGTATTCAATAATATTGGCTCTTTTTAGTCTTTGTTTTATCATTCCTACCCTAGCTGACTGCAGGACTGAGGAACCCAGGTGACCTAGGATATTCTGTGAAAATTCTCTAAAAGGGATAAGGTGCTGACTGTGCATAAAAAATAAGGTTACTGGCTGGTTCTGATACCACTATTTATAAATCTTGCCTAGAGGTTCACTGCCTGCCTCCTCTCCCACCCCGCCCTTGTGCTGGCCTGGGGGTCGAGGGGAGGAGAGCAGCGCTTCCTCTGTTGGTGAATAGCCATTGTGATGCTGGGCTAAG